CCCACCAAACTAATGCGATAAATGAACAGGACACTCTCAAATTCTCTTGCGTTTGCAGCAACGGTACCGAGGCCGATGTGTCCCCGTACATGCAGACCATCCCCTTCTTTGTCTGCCAGGAAACCTACAAGCAGTGCATCGCTGCCTCCTCGACTCAGGATCAGGATGAAAAGTGTACGGCCGCCCAGAAAGAGTGCGGTACACTGAACGCGACGGCCTCTTCCACCTCCTCATCGACCACTACCTCTTCCGCTATTTCCACCGCCACGGAGAGCGCGACCGGAAACCAGGCCGAGTCGACTGCCACGGCCACCACTACTACTAGCAGCAGTGCTACCGCTCAGACCAGCAATGCTGCCATTCGCCTGGTCGGAGAGCACGCCACTGGTGTGATGGCGACCGTGCTCTTCTTTGCGGCTCGTCTCCTGCTGTAAATGGGGCGGTGCGCCTTGTTTGCGACCATGACCATACCTATCACATCCGTTGAGTATGCGACCATGGAGCGCACAAGACAACCACGGAGATTGAATACTCGACCGTTGACTTCTCTGTCTAATGCCCGTTCGTCGCCTGTTTTTTTGCACTTTTTTTCTCCGAACACTTGACTCATTGCACTGCAATCGCAATATTCCCCCGCGTTCATGTCTCGTAGTTGAGCCATTTGTGATATTATGATCCTGTATGCACTATACGCTTTTCATGACTGTCCTTAATTGGAGCCTGCAAATACCTGTCGGCGCTTAAGAATTGACTAATTCATGGGTACGACCCGATTATTACTTGACGTGCTGGTCGCTCTGACTTTTTAACCATTGTGATGACTGCTCTTGGACGATAACCCGGCCTGTAGAATGATAAGTACTCTGGGACTGTCCTGTTGACGGCGGAATGTGGTTAATCGGTGATGACCCTGAGAGTGTGCAAAATTTCCCTTCTCAAAATATGTACCGAATAGTCATGAAATCAATATGCAACTCGATAATAATAATCTTGAAATTATCAAAGTAATACGCTGCTGTTGGGTTGAATCAGTTGTGTCCACCTGGAGAGACGTCTCTTTGTCAGGTGTTTTCTCCAACCAAAAAAGGCCAATTCGCCAAGAGTTTTGCCCACACTGAAATTTCGCCCTTCCCGGCATCATCGAACTTATCGAATATCGATAGCCTCTTGGGACACTCCACCCCTCTCTTTTTCTTTTCTAGACCTCTTCTCTCTTCTCTCGCTCTCTCCCCTTCCCTCCCTCTCCTATCTACGCCCATTATGCCCGCTCCTACCAACACCCTCCTGATCGAGGGTACCTTCACCGAACTCGCCGATGAGTTCGCCCAGTACATTGACGCCCTCCGCAAGAACGAGGGCGCCAGCCTCCAATCCGAGATCGCTCCCCTCATTGAGCCTCTTCGCCAGCAAGAACAGTCGGAGGAGGAGCCCGATCGCAAACAGCGCGATGAAGTGCTGAAGAAGTTGGTGGGTGCCGCGGCCGTGTTGAACGCGGCTCCAGAGAAGGGTGAGTTTGTGTGGGCGGGTTGCTATATATGAACCCGGAGGCTCGGGACAAGAGAAGGAGCTGACCTTTGCAATCTTGCAACTAGAAATCATCTCCGCCTACAACCTCCTCGTGCACCTGGTGCATCAGGCCTCCAACCCGGATATGTTCCTCTCCCGCATTTGCACCTACCTCGCCAAACCTATCACCACCTCGCCTCAGTTTGGCCCCACGCTCGCAATCTCCATCCTGACCACCATCTTCAACACTCTTGCTCCCACCGACTCGAGCCGTTTCCACGTCCTCCTGGCCATCGTCGCCGTCATTCGCCAGTCCGGCTCTTCATACGCCTTCGAGGCTCTGAAGCCTCAGCTGGCCGCCCAGCTGCCCACCTGGTTGTCCGCCTGGGAGTTGGATGACGAGGATGCTCAGAAGCTGCACCTTGCCGTTGCCGATGCCGCTCAGGCTTCGGGCGATCTCGAATTGGCACAGACTCATGTGGTGCAGGCCCTGCAGACGATTCCCGCCAACGAGGCCTCCAGCAAGGAAGCGCGCGACCTCGCCGTCCGTGCCTTGACCTCAGCCCTGAAGAGCCCCGGTGTTTTCGATTTCACTTCGTTGACCGCCGCCGATGCCGTCCAGGCTCTTCGCTCCAGTGACAGCAACCTGTTCGAATTGCTGGAGATCTTCACCGCCGACACTCTGGACGCCTACGAGGATTTCATCGCGGCCACCCCTCTCGAAACCATCTCTGGCGGTGTTCTGGCCGATGGCGCCGAGGCTCTGCAGACCAAGCTGCGCCTGTTGACCCTGGCTTCGCTTGCAGCTTCGACTCCCTCTCGCTCCCTCCCCTATGCTACCATCGCCTCGGCGCTGCGCGTGCCCGTTGAAGATGTGGAGAAGTGGGTCATCGATACTATTCGGGCTGGTCTGGTTGAGGGCAAGCTGTCGCAGCTGCGTTCCGAGTTCCTGGTGCACCGGGCCACATACCGTGTTTTCGGGGAGAAGCAATGGGCGGAGGTGCAGGGCCGTCTGATGGTTTGGCGCCGCAGTCTGGAGAGTGTGCTGGGTGTTCTCCGCACCGAGCGGGAGCGCTATATCCGGGAGAGCATGCAGGCCGCGACTGAGGAAGCCGGTCAGGGCAAGTCGGGCGACAAAGGAGCCAAGGGCGGTGACCGGAGACGTAACCCCCAGCAACAACAGCAGTCGCAACCCTCACAACCACAGCAGGCTCGGGAGGTTGAGTTGGTTGGAGGTGCTGAATAGATAACGCGCTGAGGCGGACAAGAGTTGCAGCGAGGCAGGAGAAAGCAATAGACTTCGTCGCCACAAAGATGAAAAACAGAAGAAAAGTAATGATTGGGGTGTCCTTTGCTTTATTTACTTGTCTTGTTCATCTGAACCAGGAGACCCCCTTTTTATGTCCGAATTTCCCGTCCGTTTCTCTTATTTCCATTTCTACAATGTTCATATGGTAGCTACTTCTGTTGTTTAGAGACGGGGAGCCCTTGGATGCATGTCAGTAGTAAGGAATGGGCCAGATCAATCAATCACGAATCATGTCTTGTTCATCCTTTTCTGACGAGGTGTTGGGGACAGAGATTGTACATTCTTTAGCTCTAGTATGACAGATTAAGACACGAGACGCTTTGTATTTGACAAGGTAGACTAAATGGGATATGTCTATATAAAACACGAAAATGAATTTTCTTCCAAAATAAACAAACAGACATATATCAACAGGGAAGATGTATGAAGATCGGAAACAATTGGGGGTCAAAAGCCGAGGTCAACACAGTCCCATCAGATAGGCTGGACACCCTTCTTCTCGAGGCCCTCCCTAATTCTGGCATACACTTCATCGACCGTCCCCGTGGCGGAGACGGACAGGACCTTCTGCTGTTCCTCAAAAGCCCGCACAACAGGCATACTGGTCTCAACAAACACCCGGAACCGCTTGCGGATCGACTCGGCATTATCGTCGTCACGTCCCGACGTCTCGCCGCGCTTGAGCAGCCGCTTCTCCATCACCTCCTCAGGACAGTCCAGGAACAGAGTCATTTCGGACGGGCAGACAGTATCCTCGAAGAACACGGCCTGGTCGAGCTTGCGCGGGAACCCGTCGATCAGGAACCGGGCCTTCTTCTTCCCGCCGTCAGCCGTCGCGCCGGCGCCCGCCGCCAACGCCTCGGCCATGGCGTTCGACAGCAGCGCCACCGTGATCTCCATGGGCACGATCTTGCCCTCTTTGATGTACGTGCGGATGAGGTCGCCGTACTGGCTTCCCTCGCGGACCTGTTCCGCGCGCAGCAGATCGCCTGCGGACAGATGAATGAACCCGTAGTCGCGGACCAGGTTGGTGGATTGCGTGCCCTTGCCGCTGCCTGGGCCGCCTAGCAGGAAAACGACGGTGACATCCTGTGGGGAGAAGCGCGGGGTGGTGTTCGTGGACGCTTGAGGAGGGGCGGGTTGTGTGGGAGGGACGGCTGGGGGATTCTGTGTATTGGCCATGCTTTTATTTCCTTGTTATTGAGGTGGTGTGGTGTTTTATTGATTGGATTGCGGCTTGCGGACGCCTGTGCGCGATTTCACCAATAGGATGTAGGAACCGGTGCCAATGGCGAAGATAGTCACGAAGGGGAGGATTTTGAATTGAGAGCGGTTGTATTGAGACCCTGAAGAGGAGGAGGACGACGGAGAGGAAGATGGGGAAGGAGAGTCGGGTTTAGAAGAGGAGGAAGAATAGGGGCGGCGGTGATGCTGCAGGTGTTGTTGGTGGTGGTGGTGGTTGTGGTGGGGTCCGGGTGATGATCTCACGGGATGCAATATCGACAGCAATTGAGCTCGGGTAGAGATGCTGGAGGATCGCAGGGCTCCGGAAGGAAAAGACATTCCTTTGAGAAGAGAATTGAAGTTGAACTCGTTAAGTGACAAACTGAGCTGGGTGACGCCGACGAAGAAGAGCAGCGAGAGCCTTTTCTGCAATGGGGATGGAAAATGAGTCTAATAATAACAGCATGTGGATGGATGACAGAAAAATAAGGCATGCAATTGGCCAGAAGTAGCTTAGCGCGATATCTATACACTTCTCTCTTCCAGAGCAATCGTCCCTCCATCTGAATACGCTTGTTTGACATCGCAATCATATCCATTTGAACTTATAATAATGATAACACTACTTTGAGATAAACAGGTCAATGAGTTGAGAAACAGAGGAGCACATTGTCGTGGAGTTATGCAATATTCGTCAATTATGACAGACTATTCTGTGTATTCAGCACTGGCCGACTAGGGAAAGAACAATAAGTGAGTCAGAAGAAGTGAATAAGTGAGATCTCGGCAATTTGGGAGATATATGTTATAGTTGTTTAGATTCAATTGGACTCTGTCTTAAAACTTGGTTCCCTCAAGGCACCTCAACTCGTCCTTCCTCCTTCTCCGTCTCACACATACATGCACACACTCTCTCTTCATACCACTCTTCACTCTCTGCGTATCAGCGACTCATCTCGCCATGGCTAAACCCAAACAGCAACCTAGAGGGCATCAAGGAGGTCGTGGATACAGATTCGGTCGAGGAAGAGGCGGCAAATTCAACAAATCCCACTTTAATTCACAGGATACAGAAGACAACAACTCCCGTCCTCCAGCAAAGAGCTCCGAACCTAGTGTCAGTTGGACTTACACCTCAGTCTAAGCGAACTAGGACTCACTAACGATGATTTAGGCATCTCGCGGCAGAGGCGGATATAGGAACGTTTCCTCCGGAGGACGAAAGCACGATCTCAATGTCGGTCGTCTGCTGTCCTGACTCCATTGATTGAAATTGAGCTGACAATGAACACCCAGTAGAAACCCGGAGACTCGCAGAAACCAGGTATCACGTTCACCGGGAATGTCAAAGCCTCTGTACCCAATGGCCTAACCAGCAATACGAATAATACCTTTTCGGATGCTTACCAGACCGGCTGTTCGAACCGCGATGGAAAAAGCTTCACCAAAGGTGAGAATCTCCTTGTTCAAAGTCTTTGAAAGTCGATAGGCCGTCTCTAATAGCTACCTAGCGTACACTGGTTCTTCGTCAAAGCCCAAGCCAAACGAAATCTGTGTCCTTTCCCCTCAGCCTCTGCAGTTCGTTCCTACGAAGAAGACCTTCTACCAAGCCCCAGGTAGGGATACACCTGCCATCGTGAGAGACACTCCACCCGCCAAACTTTCAGCATTTCAGCGTCTTCCCGGCGAGTTACGTTGGAGGATCTATGAACTCGTTTTTGACGTTCAACGAGTCGAAGTCCTCCGTTTGCGGGACAGAAATCCAGAAAACAACATCAAGAGAGTCCATTACCGCCTCTACCATCGTCAACTGCGACCTCGCGACCCAAGAACACATGCCGCACCCTCAAGTGAGGGACGCTTTACTTGTCCTGCCCTCCCCATTGCGCTTCTGATCACCTGCCGCAGCATCTATCGTGATACGCTGTGCCTGTTCTACTCCAGGATGCAGTTCATTTTCAACACGACTCGTACCGTGATGCGCTTTCTGAAGATCACCAGCAAGGAAGCTCAAATGGCGATCCAGCACATCGAGCTCAACCATACCATGTACAGCGAGCCTGCGCTGCTGAAGTTCAGGTGGTACAAGTGCATGAGCGACATGGCGTGGTACAATGCCTGCGATGACCTGACTGTTTACTGCAAGTCGCTGCGTGTCCTTCATATCGAGATGTATATTCGGGACTGGCCCATCAGTCTTCAAGTGGGTGAGCGGTGGTCCTTGCCGCTGCTTGCCTTCGCGCGCTATGGACCACGACTCGACTGGGTCGACATTCGACTTCACATGAGCAGCTTCAAAAAGGACCAGCTTGAGAAAGTCGCTCGGGAGATTGAGGAACAGATCATGGATCCAACGGCTTTTCAAATTCGTGAGGATGAACGACTGGCGAGGGAGTTGGCGGGACCTGTCAAAGCCAAGGTTTTAAGACTTATGTTTTAGTTTGTTTGGTAGCTGTTCATGGCGTTGAAGCACTGGGATTGATATGAGGAGTGGGAAAAGGGACTTGCCAACGAAGGACGGGCAAATTGAGACGGAAATGGCTCGAATTCCCAGAAGGCTTACTCGTACATTGGCCCCAATAAATGCTTCAGACAAGTAGATAGTCTCTTTCAAAGAAATCCAGGAAGTATATGATTTTGCCAAGTAAGGAAACGCGATGATGATCAATATGTACATGAGTCATGATTATAGGCGAGTGTAAGAAGAACGATGTTGGAGAAAGTATCCGCAAGGTCGAGGTCACCACAATGCCAGGTCGAGGTCACCACAATGCCTTGTTGTTGGATTCGCAACACTCAAATATGCAACATCCTCTATTTGCTCTCATGAGGCCCGCCCAAGATGCTCCGTAGGTTGAGCCTCATCGGATGGGACTGTGTGGTATGCCTGCATACGACGTCGCCGTATGAACAAGTAAATGCCGGCCATGAGCCCGCTCATGGAGCATGCAATTAAAACAAAGATCAGGAGCTCCCCAACTCCTTGGATAAGCTCATACGCTTGGTTTATGGCTTTGGCTGCTTCCTTGGACGTGCTGTAAGAACCCGCAACGTCGTCTTCATCGGACAGCTTCGAGCTGTACAGCAGCGAGGGGTCATCAGGAGTGGGCTTCTCCTCGCCCTCGAAACCTGCCAGTCGCCAATTGTCTGGTGTAGTGGTGCGATGAATGGCAGAAGTACCGAGGACGTTCCCGTCTTTATCCACTGCTTCCACGGAGACCCAGTCCAGATATCCGTCAGCGATGTACATAGTTTCAAAGTCGACCTTGGTGGTATTGCCGACCAACACGGGGATTCCGTTCCTCTCCTTGCGGGCGTAGAAATTCCACGAGGCGATGTCTGTTGCTCCGTTCCAGCTGACGTGGAAGATAGTCGTGAGGTCTGTCTCATCCGTACCGTACACAGTCGAGACTATGTCCGGCGGGGTCAGAGGACGACCCGTAAAGGGAAACTTGTAGGACCGGTAGGTGGAAAAGCGAGTGGATGCGAAGCTGGCCTGCATGAGGACTTTGCCGTCGGGCGAGTGCTCGCTTTGGTAGCCTCGCTCACTCCATCCAACAAAGACGTTGTCATTTGGCAAGCGCTGAACGCTACCACGGAGCCGTGTGAGACCTCCATCCGGGCGGTCGTAACGGTCGAGCAGCCGCGCTGTCATGGGGGATGCACTGGTATCCACCTGCACAAAGAGAGCAGCGGAATGATCTTCGTCTTGTCCGCCTTCATCAGAAGCGTTGTTCAAGAACGAGATAGTTGTATGTGTTTCATTTGACTCGACAAACCGGACATGGTGCTGCTTAGAGAAGGTGAAATCCTGCACAAAGTCTGAAAATTTGCCCCCAAGCCTCCAGATAATGTGTCCATCTTGTCCGGAAATGAGGTAGATTGTGTTTGTGAACCGTGCGGACAGTATATAGTCACCGGCCGCGTTCTTATCCACGGCGTTGACATGGACGTAATCCCAACCAGGCTGGCGAGACGGCGAATCCCAGGAATTAACTTGTACAGATTCATGAATAGGGATGTGGCCGACCGAGCTCCATTCATAGAGTACAGCCCCGGTAGCTACATCCAATTCCACGAAACCACCAGTCATGACCCAGCCATGTTCATCGGGACGCCCCAAATCTCCAAGGTCCATGTATTCCGGCCGGTATAGGCAAGCTAGTGCTGTCTTTCCGCCGTCGAGGATGTTGAATTCGTGCATATTGAATGCTGAAAGATCATTCGTCACTCCAACGGCATATTCCGGCTCGTAATGCTCATCAAGGACATATCCTAGTCCCTTTTCACTGCCATCATCGTGATACGCATGCTGCAGGATAAACGAGAGATGAGGTCGATCATCGATGTTGTGCACTGCCTTGAAATCGAAAATATTTCGATTGTCAAACATGCATGAACCAGCCCAGATCAGGGTCTGACCAGAGAACTCGTAAGTTGGGTCCATGCTTCAAGTGTTTGAAAGAGACATACCCCATCTGCATCATAGATATACGGTCCGATTTGGCATGGCTTCCACTGCTTGGTGGGAGCCTCTGGGTCAATCACGCCATATGGCGCGACGAACCAGTATCCCGGGCTTACAGATTCACGATCATAGTAAGCAACATCGAATCTTAGTGCTCTAACTTCGGGAAGCTTAAGATTGTCAGTCCAAGGTCGTCAGCTCGTATTGGAGGACATACTGTGACAAAGGATATCAAATCATCGTCAGAACCGGCAACACCCTTGCGGAAGAGAAGAAGAAACAAAACCCAGAAAAACATCATGCTCAAGGAGTGGCTAGGAGAAAATCTCCATAAGAAAAACAGGCGAGAATAAGAAGCAAAGGGAACGATATTAGGGCTTGAGGGAACTCCACAGCAGATTGAAGAGTCGACGCTTCGACTGGAGGACAGCAGTCCTGCTGATCAAAGAGACTATAGAAGTGTACTGACTTATTTCCAGGAGTAGCAAAGCACTCCGTGGTGGAGAAGTTAGACGACATGGAGTTGATGATAAAACGAGAAGGAAGCTAAAATGAAACCGACGAGGCCACAAAACACGATAATCACATATGCTCATTCACATCGGTACAAGTGATCCTGTGCTCCGTAGGAACTCAGGAGCAGACGAAGCCCATGTGTCCACTCCTGCGGCCACGCAAGATCTGGTATGGGATTTGGCAATCAAAGGAAGCGGGCATTCTTGGCGATGTTGTAGGCAGTGGAGCAGACCGCGAACTTCTCGGTTTGAGAACCAAGCAGTGATGGCTGAGTTCTGCGATTGACGTATGCCGACTCGTGTACAGTGGCCCATACCCCGTTAGCGGCGTCAACATTAGCCGAGTCCAGGTCGAAGGCTGCGCGGCCTGTGGGATAGTGCCAATTCTCGGTCCCCTTTTCTGCAACAGCTGAAGCCCAATTGGGATAGATAATTCTTTATCATTATTAGCCCCATTTGAATGTGTCACGAAAGACCAAGAGATTTCGATGCTGTGTGCCTCTACTGGATCGGTCACTTAACAGTCATCTTGGCGCCTCTAGCGGAATGGAGGGACCGCAGTCATCAGAATTTCTGGAAGAAGTTTAGAGAGGTATCAGCGTCAACAACGGCAATGGTCAGTCAGCTTTACGGCCGGTTACCCGCAGATTATTGGACAGGAAATCATTGTTGGACGTGGCCATGCTCCACAGTCCACAGAGCTTGGAGGCCTTGGCTTTTGGCCTAACCTTTTGCCCGTTCGCTGATCACTCGAGATTTCCAGACTTCCAGTCGCAATACTGCTTCATCAGATCATATCCATGAGGCGAAATGGTCAGGGATTCTGCGAGGCGTTACAGGATGCGAAAACATTGTGTTGCCCGTCTCTCGTTGAGGGAGCACCCCGTGACAGTTCCTTCGGAAATGGACACAATAATCATACGAGTTAACGCCTCTCAGTGATCACTGCTATCCGTACTCGGCTTTATGACCTTATTATTCCCAATCGAGCAACTCGCACCGGTTCGGACCGTCAGACTCGCCCGTGAATTGACGTTATTATCCAATTTTTTATTTACATAAGCTATTCACAAAATGCTGGACCAGGGGCCTCGGATTCCAACAAAATTCTTTAGCATGGTGTGTATCCAGACCAAACAAATCACTGAGGGCATCAAGCTAATCTGCACGACTGCGTCGATCCGCTATTCTGCCCTTCAATTAGCGTAACTCGCAATGGCTGGCTCGCCAAAGGTTTTGGGCCTATATGCAAGAACTTCTGCTAATGCAATAAGCAGCAGTCCTTCTGTGCCTAGCAAATCATCTAGGCCAAGCTGGGGTGGTAGCGCACGACCGCACACCACGTCAAGATCCAGCCGTGACGGATCGCCCGGGCCATCATGGGTTAGCGCATCAACCGCTAATGCCCATGCGAGTGGGTTGTACAAGACACCCTCATGAGTGTAAAGCCCTCCTGCAGGCTTGCCGCCGCAGATGGTCTGTAGGTGATTATTAGATACACCGACAGCCCGGGAGTCTGAAAGGATGGCGGACGCCTGGCTGCCGCTCATAGGCTGTACGATCTCATCGAATGTGGAATAGATCGTGGTTGTGGGAACATATGCAGAGTCCCCTCCGTCGCCTCGCAGAGTTCTGATAAACTCTGTGTCCCACCCCTGCTGCCACAGCGAGGGAGTGCAGGCAAGCGCCGCCAGCCACGGGCACACAAGTGACCTCACGACCGTCCCGTGGAAATCAGGGCTGATGGCGATGAAATCATCAACCACTTTTCGGGTAGATGGCCAGTACTTCAGGGCCCATTGAGTATCCAGTCCACCTTGGGACCATGAAAGAACCGCGACGTTGGATCCTGAAATGGCTGAAATATAATTGATTGCATAAGCGACGTATTCAGAGTTGACCTGTACGTCATTCAACGAGGCCTGAGGGATGTTGAGCCAAACCACGTCGGCATCTGCGGCGCTTCCCAACTTGCCGAAGTTGAAGTAATAAGTCGTCCCAGCGGGTGTAGCAGTTCCCGGAACCAGAATCACAGGCTTCTTTCCATTCTTACCATAGCCGAACGAGGTGGGGATATGAATCGCTGCCCGCAGTGCATTTTCTGCGACTGAGTAACGGGCATCTCCTGGAGCTTTGACCGGGTAAACGGCTTGGCCCTTCGGACTGGGGTTCCGGTTATGAATCGAGTTCAGATCCAAGTTGAGGTAGCCATTTAAGAAAGAGAGAATGTCGGCCGGGATCAATCCCACCGTGAGGATTTCACGCGCCATTTTCAAGAAATCAGGAGTGCCATCTGCAAAGATGGATTGAATCTTGTCGAATGCTTCCTGCACAGACTCATCGTCCTTCGTCGAGCGACTGTTCTCAGTCTCGTCGAATTTTGACACGATTGAGGAGGCAGTGCTCTGAGCCTCGCTTTTGATTGAAGAATCATTGGCAGCACTAGACAGGATCGAAACGAGACTTGAATCCGAAGCGGCTGGAATGGCGCCGCGAGGAAGGACTGCACCAAAAACCAAGGGACTAAAGATTGCCCTGTACAGGACGGCTGCCTTCAGCAAGGAGCTCCACCTCATCTTGATTCAGCCGTCACTGAGTGGAAACGCCTTGAGACGGTAACCAGCTTGACTCAGACATTTCGGAGGGAAGGCAGCAGGCAATTTATCTTCCGTTTTCTCCAGAAAAGAAGTTTACGAGCTGCCTTCCCCTCTCTGAGATGCCTCGGCCTCCTAATCATATCTCGAATTTTAGCTTCAATATTGAGACATCTCTTCTTGATGGTGGCTGATCATTCGCGGTCTAACAGGTGTGCGTGACCACCCCATTGACCAATTCCACGACCTTACGGGGCGCGGAAGTGCGTCAGGCCATGCTGAGCAAAAGGGCCAGGGGAAAGAGGCCAATGGTAGGATCGTCGGCCAGATGAAGTTCCATTTCTCCCTGTCTTCCGCTCAAGCTCGATTGGCCCAAGTGGATCTTCGCGGCAGACCCTGGGCCTCTGTTAGGGTATCAGGACGGAGAATTGTTCCTTTTGTCCCTCACCAAAATACAAACGAGCATGGGCAGGACCCCGAATTCAATCTATTACACTTTGGCTTGGGTCCGTTCACTCCATGAAGAAACCCATATCATTGAATAGCTCAGTTCTTCTTCGGACGACTCGAACGAGGCTCGGATTCACTCACATGTGATCGGCCCTCTTAGCTGGGGGAATGCCGGGGTTTCTTCAGCGCTTGCGGCATTAGGAGTTAGCACTTCCCCACATTTGAGGGGAAACCACCCCATATTGCTGACAATGCTCCCAGCTCACCAGGCAGCAATTCTCTAGCCCCTGCTGTAATCGATAGTTAGTGCTATATTGATTTGTCAGTACTCAAGAACGCAAAGAAAGCACGAGCTTCTGGAACGATTGGCGAAGATCAGAGCTGATAGCCTAGGTTGATTGTGATCGAACCATACTACGGCGATCTTCAGATTGCTCCGGAAAGTCCAACAACGCATGTAAGCTTAATCTAGCTTGACTGTTGGTGTGAAGAGTAGGCAGCAGAATATTCATAAATTCTTATGTCGCTTTAGTGCGTTGTTTGGATGTATCGTCTGCCAGATACCATGGACATATTGCACTCTGCCCGGTAAACTGGAAGAAGAGTAACCCGATGGATTAAAAGGTGGGGACGCGATCAAGAATATAACTCAGAACATATAACAAGGGAAGCTAAGGCCCGTCATAGGCAGCAAGATATGCTCATGGACAGAGGACAGACGATATTTGTCATGCCAACTTGCGTACAACTGGGTTGCGAGCGTTCGCATATGGCAGAGGTTTCATCCTGTCTTCTCCAACGTGCCGGGATTATGCGCAACCCGATGTCCATGTTGATCGGTGAAGATGACCTTCGAGCGTTAGCATTTGCGTCGTTGACTTTCTCAGACGATGTATTACGGGTAGTGGGGGCGAAATCGCATCGTTCCCGTACCTTGGGAGGATTCGCGACGTTCTCCTCGTCCGCTTCGGCTTGATCCATCACAATTCTTTCAACCTAGAGAAATCCTCTATTAACATTGATCAAGGAGATAAGCGTAAAGGAATATCGACGTACCTTTCCTTCATGAGATCCGCCCCGATAGCGGGTATAGACATGGTCACCCTCATTGATATTCTCTCCTTCCTTGTCTTTGACTCGCTCGGCCGACATCTTCTTTACTCAATCTCAATCTGATGACTAGAAAATCTGAGTGTTGATATTGTTAAAGGATTACAGTTGCATCAAAGAACTGGGAAGATATACGAGAGGTACAAAGTGGTTGATACTCCGCTTCTGTAATTCTGATGTCATCTCAGATACACAACACCCATGGACACATCCTCACATCATCCTCCATGGGCAGCTATCAACAAGACAGACAAAGAGATCTTTGTATGTCTTCAATTCATATTCGACATCTATCCTAGCAATTGTCGATAGCTAGCTTAGGCCTCTAGAGATCGATGGTGGACGAACTGCTTTAGACTCCGTTCCTTTTCTAGAGCAGAACGGCGGAAGTAGCATTCTTGAACTTAAGATGCTATTGCTGAATAATGATTTTCTAGATAACTAGAAGAAGACGCGAAGATTGCAAGAACACTCTCAATTTTTTAATCCTCAAGATCCGTCAAATCATAGAAATGACCGACGGCGTGACCAAGACTAGGTAGGCATAATCGGCTCAAGAAGCAGCCTCAGGACTCTGAATAATATGTGACCCCATTGGATGATTATCATTCTGATGGCATGTCATAGGTATATACACTAATGCAGTCGTAGGCTGAAAAAGAGGTCCGTCAGACCAGATCAGAATCACCGATGTTTAAGTGTCTCACAATGTTGCACTCGAGGTTAGGGTCCATATATGGCATACAGTTGCAATTGAAACTAAAGTTAGCACATATAGCATGGTAAATGCGCACGTGCTGGTTTCTGGCTGAAGTATTGTCCTTAGATGAGCAATTATTGCCTGTCTTGCTGGTCGCCATCTGTTCTTGTTTCAGGATATGCGATGATCAAAGTCTGTCTGCTATCTTAGAGGATGACGGCCCGGCCAACCTAGGCCTGATCAACCTACGCCTGGTGGTTCCTAAATTTGCGCCGTATATTGCTCTCTGGGGTAGGTTTGACCTGTTGGGCAAGTATTTTCCTTCACTGTTGTAGATATGTCTCCAAGGGCATCGAGACCCCATAGTAATCCAAGTCTATGAGCAATTTTGTGCCCACATTGACCTTCGTTCAAGAAGGTTGAATCTCAGTTTTGAATCCACGTTGATTGGCAATGGTTGGATATCTCCAGACTGCAGCTTACGGGCGTTCCCCGGTCCACGTGGTGAAATGTCACACTAGGCAGAGATTAGTATTTAGTAGTGTGTGATTATTACAAGCTCTGGGAGCGGTCTGAATTCTTTGAGAAAAGGCTCGGTGCAAACAACCCAATTACTCGAGATCAGAATGCAAGTAGTCAGAGAAGGTGGTGCTCAGCATTGGAGAGGTCAATATCTTTCCGCATTCGAGATTTCAAGTTTTCGAGGATTCTTCACTTATTGCCTACGCAATCAACCTACGGGGCGTACCGTGTGGCGACAAAGAGCGTTGTACAAGCCGTCCTAACTTGATAAGGGGCGGATGTTTCAAACAATTTGGATCATTACTTGATAAGTTGATAATCTTCCGTACCCAGATTGTCAATTGTTTCTAGCCTTCGGCAACGACGACATGTAGTACAAACAACACTACAATACAAGGGAGGTGAGAGTATATCAGTAAGCGAGCAGTATTTACTTACCTATGTGATCAAGTAGTATATGTTGCAGGCAAGTAGTATACGGAGCATATCGAACAATACCTTCACAGTGACACTACCTGCATAACCTATCTACAACCTTGGCAGAGTACATACGTCGCTTTGGAATGTAGGGTCATACTGGTTGTGAGGTCCTCCAAATCAAGACACGAGAAGCAAAGTGATGCACACAGAGGGCACTGAAGAAGAACCTAACAACAGTGTATCATTTATATAGTATTTTGATGACCAAATAGAATCAGCCTGAAGATCCTGACACGATCCATAGTCATCACTATGAAGTTTGGGTTGATGGAGCTGCCAGTGTAACAGTTTCGGCGTTTGTGATTAGAGACCGCCGACTACCACCGTTGCACCATCAAGTGTCACACATACCACAATATGCGGACCTACTGACCAGCCCCCATAAAGGAGACAGTCAAGAAGCCATCATGAGGAATGCTCCTGAGCAAATAATCAACATTCAGCTGTGTATGTCTCTCCCTGCTCGCAGAAAATACAGCGGATTTTCTCTCATATATTCAATTGTTTTCTGCAGACGATTGGGAGATCTAAGCAGTGAAATGGAAGATGGTGACACGGTACTGAAACGGTTATGACAGAACCGAAACATCTGGTGGACTGGTTACGTATGGAACCTCGAGAATGTAACTCTGATGGCGATCACCACATCAGCCTACAACTACTTAGGTACCTTAGGTTCACTATTATTTATTTAGCATCTGCTACCGATCTCAGTGGATATGATGCAGGTCTACTCGTCGTAGCACATTGTATGTATAGATTACCCATGATTAGGAAGATAGGTAGTACTATTAGTGAATCAGTAGTAGCATGTCCTTACTTATAGAGTAACTTAGTTCTATTTATGTTTAGGTCATGCAGATAAAAGTCAACCCTTCGAAGACGTTTCAGAAAATTAATATTGGACATATTGAAGCCAAGAGATCGGCCACGCTACTACTAGGTGAAATCCTTGTAGTACTCCGTATCTTGACGGACTGCTAGTTAAACATCACTAAGTCCTTCATCAACTTGCCGTCATGATGAAAATCAACAGTAGTTTCCTCCGTGCCCCTGGAAGGATTTGGACGATCTGGTTGATCGTCTCTCTCGAGTCCAGTTAGTTATTACTGCTCAGGACAGGTAGGTAGGTAGTAAGGTAGCAGATGATGGAAAGTAATTACGATACAATACTACCATACCTGACGGACTGAGGGCCCAAATGGGCACTGTTATGTTGCACTCTCCCAACAGAACCATAATCTGGTAGTATCTATCATGGTATCGCCATCCCATTATTTTTGCTTTCCCTATTTCCGTTTTCCCGTCTTTTTTTAAAGTTTACATTACTTCTTTTTGGGTTCATGATCGAGATCATCTATCTTCAAACGTCTTCTCTTGCCTCGCTTCCTCCTTGCAGTTGTTATCGTTGCTTCAAGTAGTTCCCTTTACTCCTCCTCTCCCCCTTGTGACAATCTCTTCTGGAATGGACACGCGTTGATCCATGCTCCAACCATCTATAGTCCCCGTCACCCTCCATTGACTACGACTAACGACTGTTACTACGGTACTATTCTATAATATAATAATAATACTACTCTACACTCACAACGGACCCTGACCTGAAACTAATTTTGACTGCTACGACCTCTACAACAACCATCTCACCCACCACCACCACCTTCAACTTGGCGGCCTTCGTGCAACTACAGCATTGAACCTTTCTTTTTTTCCCATCTGGCACCGTTCTGTGGAGAGTCCCGTCCACCTCTGTTGATTCGATTGCTTCTATTCTTCCCTTGCTTGGGCATATTCTCCGTATCTTCCTCTTGGTCTACCTTCCTCTCCATCTTACCTCGCGGCTCGACATCTGCAAGGAAAGAAGGTGGCTCCACATTGCCAGTCGAACAAAGACCTGACTTGACACTTTCATTGGTGTCACCTTCGTTCTTCATACATGCTACTGGGCTCCATTGACAGAAAGGGACCTGGTCTTTATTGGCACCGTTCACTTTATCGTGGACGCACTCGTTCTGAAGCTGAGCTGTCAACTTTCTAACCACCATCAGCCTCGGTGGGCCTTCTATTATTTACTCCTCTGCTCACCCCATACTTTACCCGAGTCTTCAGATGCATCGTTGTATAAATCGGTATCAGTCTCGTCTTGTCTTCCACTATTAAACATCGTCCCATCCGTTGTCCGTCTGCAGACTTGGCTGTACGTATTGTCGCTTTTGTTGGCCTCCTTAGGTAAACTGCTAGCGTACCATCGTTGCCGCTTCAGCCATGACAGCTCCTCTAGTCAAAGTCCTGCACAGGATGCAGGAGCTCTTCTCCAACATTGTCGCTGCATTAGAGGCAATGATCTTGTTCCCTTCATTGTTCCGGGATCCCTCGCGTAAGCGGCGGAAGGCTTTCCATGGCGCCTACTGGCGACGTCGGACGCTCGACAATTTTGTCGAGGAAGTCGACCGCCTCTTCACTGCACCATTGTCTTTGCGCAATATGATTATCATGTCAGAAAAGATCCGAGAACAATTCAAGTCGTGCCTACAGTCCAGCCCGGTGTGCATGTTGCCATCGTACAACCATGCACTGCCGTCAGGAACTGAGAAAGGGACGTATCTGGCTTTGGATGTTGGGGGATCGACATTCCGAGTCGCCTTGATTGAATTAGGAGGCGCAGGAGCAATGAAGATTCTTCAAGAGTCGTCATCTCCAATCGATAACGATGTGAAGCTGTTGGAAGGGACCTTGTTCTTCGATTGGATGGCCGAGAAGATTGAGTCAATGCTAAGTGCGGTGGGTGCTGACTATGGTCGGGAAGCCGTGCCTCTCTCAATGGGATTGTCATGGTCTTTTCCGATTGAGCAGACATCCATCAGCAGTGGCCTGGTGATTCACATGGGAAAAGGGTTCTTGTGTTCCAACGGTACCCTTGGTCAGGAGTTGGGAGATCTGATCGTCCAATCATGCCGGAGACGGAGCCTCAACGTACGAGTCGACGCAATAGTGAATGACAGTTCCGCAGCGCTTCTTTCGCGAGCGTATGTCGACCCTAAAACACGCATGTCTCTAATCCTCGGAACTGGAACCAATGTTGCGGTTCACTTTCCTGTGCAGGAGATAGGGTTAACCAAGTTTGGCACCAGACCGCCAGGCTGGTTTGATTACGCCAAGCATGTGATTATCAACAGTGAGCTGAGCATGTTTGGTGGTGGAATTTTGCCTATGACCCGATGGGATGACATCCTCAACCGGACTCACTTGCGGCCTGATTACCAGCCATTGGAGTACATGGTTACTGGACGCTACCTGGGTGAAATTGTCCGACTCATCATCGCAGAGGCCGTCGAAACTG